ATACAGGTGGCAGAGGACAAAGTTCAAGTTGATAAACCAGGAAGCGGCGCACCATCAGTCGAGTCTCGGCATGCGAGCAGATCTGTCGCGTTCACCACGAATTAGTTAGTAGGCCTACTTTTAAATGTATTTTTGTACCGGTAATGTGTTTTTGTGTGTGTCGGAAAGACCGTGACGTGACCGTGATGGTTTAGAAAGTTTTTGTAGTACGATTTGACAATGACGCTTTGACGTCGAAACGCGCGTAATCCTATTTTTTGGACACATGGATCACTTGGCGATCAAGGTAATGTTACCTTATATATATATATTATCATCAGTGATTCAGTAAAACAACATACAACATGAAGCTACTCTCCCGCTCCCCCTCTCATACTGCGTTGTATGGGTTACTGGGAGTGGGAGATTTGGTAACAGAAATATCAATTAACTATTTAAAACTTAGACTACATCATGATACGAAAATTAAAAACTTAAATTCTAACCATAATATTAGAATATAAAATAAGTTTTAATCCTTTAAAAGAATGATAAACGCACTTTGGCGTTAGAAGACGCGATGATTGTTGAACATTTTACACTTTTTACTTGAAGTTTCTTTGGGCAAACAGATCAAATATAGTTCAATATGATATTAAAAAATCTAGAATTTGATTGCCAAGAAATTGTTTTACTTTTTATGTTTGTAATTTAATTGTAACGGCTGTTGGTGTAAAAAAAGTTAGAGCGGCTTTACATTTTTTCTAAACTTTAGCTATTTAAAATCACCTGCCTAGCACATAAATCCCTTAAAACTAGTAAAACATGGTATTTACAAATCGAGAGAACTATGAAAAATGCAAATTTAAAATGTATTTCACCACCCGAATTAAATTTTTCATTTTAACCTATAATTAGTAAGATTGTTTTATTAACTGGAAAAATTAAAAAAAGATTTATTGTAATTATTTTTCTAAATACCACTCTTAAATATAGGTAAACATATACTTTTTATTTCGCGAAACTATTAAGGAATACGAATAAATTGTTAAATTGTATAGATACATCATATTCTTTTCAAAAACTTCATTAAAGTAATGATATGTTCAAAATACAGGCCAATTCTTTCAACTTTGATCTTAAGTAATAAATAATAAACAATAGTTTTTATAGAAATGATTGACACTGTTCGATAGGAAATTTAATTTACTTTAAGAATGCCATCGGTGAATAACACAGGTGTTTTAGTTTAGCGACAATTTTAATTCGAAACAGCGCGCGTCGCGTTTTTCCCTATCTCTCCTATGTTATAGCCGCGGCTTTTTGCCACTCTACGGCTCCGCGTGCCCCTCTAGTGTTCTGCTAAAGCTGGCTTCACCGCAACATGTGTATTCCTATTCGCGTGCCCTCTCCTTAATGTTTAATTCTCCTAGATTCAAACAGAATTAGTTTAACGAGTACTTAGGTTTGCTGCAACAGGAAGAGTAAAAGTTTTTTTTAATGAAAAATGTTAAAAGGTACTGTAGTTTAGTAAGAAATTAATGTATTTTCCAAATTTTATCAAAATATGTTCATAAACAAGCAAACTACAACAGTTGACTTATTCTCCATAAGAATAACATGGGAATTTTAAAATTACAATTTTTTTGAATTTTATCCGTAACAATTAGGCGCATAAAAACGCTTCAATATACTACAGTAAATTGTTTGTTTTTTTAAGCTCTACAAAATGGTTTAGAAAGAAATTGTGAAATTTTGTGTTTTTAGGGTCGAAAATGGGAAAAACCTATTTTTACCCCATAAAACCCCCCGTAAACCCCCCCGTTCCCATAGTCCGATCATTCAACCAACTCATTCTAGTTTATCCCGCCTTACACCTTCAAACCAAATTTTGGTAATTATTTGGAAGTAGTGACTACTCGCAAAAGTGAAATTTTTCTTTTTCATAATGACCTAAATTTCACGCTGAATCCGAAAATGAGGTTTTTATTTTTCGGAAAATACCGGAAATTCCCGAAAAAAGGGAAAAACGGGAAAAATATTTTTTTACTCAAAATATGTCATGTGGGTACTCAAAATATGCGGAATATTGTGTAGATTAAGAATATGCAAGAACTGTTTTGATCCGATGAAAAACACAGGAGATATGACGAAAAAACGATGAATAATCTGTTAGGTTAGGCTTGGTTAGGCTAGGTTAGGTTAGGTTAGGTTTGGTTGGGTTTGGTTAGGTTTGGTTAGGTTAGGTTAGGTTTGGTTAGGTTAGGTTAGGTTTGGTTAGGTTAGGTTTGGTTAGGTTAGGTTAGTTTAGGTCAAGTTTGGTTAGGTTAGTTTATCAATAACATGAGTATTGTAAGTAAACTAACCTAACCTAACCTAACCAAACCAAACTTAACCTAACCTAAACTAACCTAACCAAACCTATCCTTACCTCATCATTAGGTTAGGTTAGGTTTGGTTGGGTTAGGTTAGGTTTGGTTGGGTTTGGTTAGGTTTGGTTAGGTTAGGTTAGGTTAGGTTAGTTTAGGTTAAGTTTGGTTAGGTTAGTTTATCAATAACATGAGTATTGTAAGTAACTAACCAAACCTAACCTAACCTAACCAAACCAAACTTAACCTAACCTAATCTAACCTAACCTAATCTAACCTAACCTAATCTAACCTAACCAAACCTAACCTAACCTCATCATTAGGTTAGGTTAAGTTTGGTTTGGTTAGGTTAGGTTAGTTTACTTACAATACTCATGTTATTGATAAACTAACCTAACCAAACTTAACCTAAACTAACCTAACCTAACCAAACCTAACCTAACCTAACTAACCAAACCTAACCTAACCTAACCTAACCAAACCTAACCTAACCAAACCTATTCAAACCCAACCAAACCTAACCTAACCTAACCTAACCTAGCCTAACCAAGCCTAACCTAACAGATTATTCAGTTTTTTCGTCATATCTCCGGTGTTTTTCATCGGATCAAAACAATTCTTGCATATTCTTAATCTACACAATATTCCGCATAATTTGAGTACCCACATGACATATTTTGAGTAAAAAAATATTTTTCCCGTTTTTCCCTTTTTTCGGGAATTTCCGGTATTTTCCGAAAAATAAAAACCTCATTTTCGGATTCAGCGTGAAATTTAGGTCATTATGAAAAAGAAAAATTTCACTTTTGCGAGTAGTCACTACGTCCAAATAATTACCCAAATGTTATCAAAATCGGAAAAAATTACTCAAGTTATCGTGCGGATGGACACACATATATAGGTATATAGATATATAAAAATTTGAACGAATGGTGTTTTTGGCCTCTGGGGACATCAAAATGATAAAGTAAATCGGTCCCGGGCCTAGGTCTTACCATGAGACCTACGGCAATAGCTAGCCTACTTCCCTATAGGGAAATTCGCTAAAAGTCAAGTCTACCTGGAGTTATTAATAAAATATGTCTAATTAATAATATCAACAATAATATTAGCCTAATTATTAATGTTAGGCTATGTTTAAGTTTACCATACAAGCTAGGGAAATAAATATCTAGGCTATTTTTAACTCTGAGAATAAAGCATCCTTCTTGAAATCCTAATAATGGTCAGAGAGGGTAGTGTTTAGGTTCTGTATCAGCACATTGCAAGTAAGAGGCGAGGGAATGTTTCCCAGCCGCTTAACCAAATAAGGGCCGGCGTGCACTATCCCGACCACGACCAAAGGCCCGACCAGTCGTTGTCGTCACCATGCGACCAGACCACGACCCGACCAAGGCAACGAATGTTATATAAACTTCAGTGTCAAGATGGATGTTTAAGAAGTAGCTGCTGTGGTGCATTTGTATCGTAGGAACGTTAAGCGGAAGAAGAAACGATACTGGAGGGTACATCCAATGTTAGCTCAAAAGTCTCTTAGTAACTCTTCCTTCCAACCAGTCGACCAGTGTGCGCTGTTCCATTTACGCCTATAATAAAACTGGCCGTATTCGACCAGTCGGAGTCACGGATAGTGCGCGCTGGTCCTAAGCTGCACAACATGGTATTGATGTGCGTATCGATACAGATATCGATACAAGGACCGCAAAATATCAATATTTTGTATCGATACGTGGGAGTGTATCGATATGCCCGTATCGATACACCTATAGCCAATATCGTATCGAATATCGTATTGTTTATTTATTAATATAAATCTTATTTTTATGCTAAGAAATTTGTCTTCCCATCTTCCTCCCCTCAAAATTAGTAGTGGAAATTTGATATTTTACCCTAGCATCTTCAAAAACACTGATAAAACATGTATTTTCAGCTATGTTTTGCAAATAACCTCAAAACTAGGGCCACCATTAATGTAAGTGGGGACCCTCATTATCCATATTACGGTATACTATTTAATGAGTAAGTGGCATAGGCCTACCCACCATCATTATTAGTACTTTTTCAATTGGGCTAATTCAATTAATTCATTTCAATTAACTCGTTCAATTAATTATCCCTGTGTAAAAACTAAGAAAAGAATAACAAAATGTTTTTCAATTTTGAGGGTTTACCGGAATTTGGAGGTTATGTAAGTTATGTATGTTTAATACAAATAAAAAGACACAGGAAGGAAACGGCTTTTCTGAGGTAAGATACAAGCACTAACCCTCTTTACAAGCTTGTAAGTAACATAGTATTTGTCTATGCAGCTTGTATATTTGAGATCTTTAATTTTTTTTTATTAAGTTATAAATAAACAATACAATCCGATATTTTATCCGATACAGATCAAAATCGATACATGAGGATACAATACGATACACCACGTTCCGATATGTATCGATACGCAGTATCGATACATTGACCCGTATCGCACATCACTACAACATGGCAATCCAAACTCAGTCGGTTTTGCTACCAACGCCTAGGAACTAGGCCTAGTTGGTTTTAACACATTTTAACATGGTATGGGGCTTTTGGTTTGACGGTAAAGGAAAAAAGCCTGTGTTATCTACCTATCCCGTAAATAATTGTGATGGTCTGTAGGCCTACCTGTTTTCTAAGACTGTAGACAAGGGTTGTATTCCTGTTGTATCTTTCTGCAGGAGGTTTTCTGCAAAATTGATTGAAGATGCTAGTATTCGAATTCCTTCTTTATTTCCAAAATTAACTAGTGACAGTCTTTCTAAGTAACGAATTGATGATAGTTCAATTTCGACAGGTTCTTTTGTAACTCTCTTGCTAAAACATGGGTAGTGTGGGTGCTTTGGAACTTTACAGTATTGCCGAGAGCAAAAGATTATTTTTGCTTTCAAATTATGTCCTAATCCTTGCAAATAAATTAACATATTACGTGTAAGTTACTACCGTAACTTACAAAAAAGGTTCTTGATTCAGCTAGTTTGTTTACAGATACCCTAGTAATACCTTTCAATATAACAGCTTAACTTCATAGTAGGCTTATATTCAATTTACAACACATTATTTTAAAGCCTGGTAGGTGTATGGCTCTGGGGAGTGGGATTTTTTAAGCGAGATTTATCCCTATTCGGGGAAATTTTTTCAAACTTTTGATCCCTTTCAGGGATTTTCTCCAGTTTGTACCTACAGCTGTATAAACCATGTAGCCCTACTATTTTTGGGGCGAGGAATTCGATGGGACCATCGCCGTCCCCCTACGAGCCCCCCCTTTCTAATTACAAGGGGTAGATGGATATTCTTTGAATAAAATATATTTGTTTTCATGTGTATTTATTTATTATATTATCCTCCATACAAATAAACTCATTTTAACACTTATACTGCCCCCTTGTACTGTAAGGGCAAGACCCTCCCCCCCCCTTTGACTAAATATATATAATTTTGGAGAATATGTCGGTAAATCAGTACAAAAATAATAAATATCCCCTATTTTTGGGGTGAGAAATCCAATGGAACCATCGCCGACGACCTAACCCCCCCCCCTTCCTACTTACAAGGGGGGGAATTCCCCCCCCAGCCAAAATATTTTTTCTTCCCTATTATATTGATTTGTTATGTTTTCCTAAATACAAATACACCCTTTACAACAGTTATATTGCCCTCCTTGACCTGTAAGGGGGCGACACCCCCCCCCCCATTTACTAAATGTATATAGCTTTCGAAATTTTGTCTATAAAGCAGTACAAAACCATGGATACCCCCTATTTTCGGGGTGAGAAGTTCAATGGCGCAAACCCCGTCCCTCCATCATCTATAGTTTTCGATTTAGGGTGGGGGTATATGGATCTGGGGAGTGGGTATAAAATACGTGTTCTGGGATGTATGAGGGGTTGTGATGTAGTTTTTTACCCTATTTTGGGGTCGAGAAATTCAATGGCGCAAACCCCGTCCCTCCATCATCTATAGTTTTCGACTTAGGGTGGGGGTATATGGATCTGGGGAGTGGGTATAAAATACGTGTTCTGGGATGTATGAGGGGTTGTGATGTAGTTTTTTACCCTATTTTGGGGTCGAGAAATTCAATGGCGCAAACCCCGTCCCTCCATCATCTATAGTTTTCGATTTAGGGTTGGGGTATATGGATCTGGGGAGTGGGTATAAAATACATGTTCTGGGATGTATGAGGGGTTGTGATGTAGTTTTTTACCCTATTTTGGGGTCGAGAAATTCAATGGCGCAAACCCCGTCCCTCCATCATCTATAGTTTTCGATTTAGGATGGGGGTATATGGATCTGGGGAGTGGGTATAAAATACGTGTTCTGGGATGTATGAGGGGTTGTGATGTAGTTTTTTACCCTATTTTGGGGTCGAGAAATTCAATGGCGCAAACCACCCCGTCCCTCCATCATCTATAGTTTTCGACTTAGGGTGGGGGTATATGGATCTGGGGAGTGGGTATAAAATACGTGTTCAGGGATGTATGAGGGGTTGTGATGTAGTTTTTTACCCTATTTTGGGGTCGAGAAATTCAATGGCGCAAACCCCGTCCTTCCAACATTTATAGTTTTCGATCTAGGGTGGGGGTATATGGATCTGGGGAGTGGGTATAAAATACGTGTTCTGGGATGTATGAGGGGTTGTGATATATGTTTCTACCCTATTTTGGGGGTGAGAAAGTCAATGGTGCAAACCCCGTCCTTCCAACATTTATAGTTTTCGATCTAGGGTGGGGGTATATGGATCTGGGGAGTGGGTATAAAATACGTGTTCGGGAGGGTATGAGGGGTTGTGATATAGTTTTTTACCCTATTTTGGGGGTGAGAAAGTCAATGGCGCAAACCCCATCCCTCCACCATTTATAGTTTTCGATCTAGGGTGGGGGTATATGGATCTGGGGAGTGGGTATAAAATACGTGTTCGGGAGGGTATGAGGGGTTGTGATATAGTTTTTTACCCTATTTTGGGGGTGAGAAAGTCAATGGCGCAAACCCCATCCCTCCATCATCTATAGTTTTCGATCTAGGGTGGGGGTATATGGATCTGGGGAGTGGGTATAAAATACGTGTTCGGGAGGGTATGAGGGGTTGTGATATAGTTTTTTACCCTATTTTGGGGTCGAGAAATTCAATGGCGCAAACCCCGTCCTTCCAACATTTATAGTTTTCGATCTAGGGTGGGGGTATATGGATCTGGGGAGTGGGTATAAAATACGTGTTCTGGGATGTATGAGGGGTTGTGATATATGTTTCTACCCTATTTTGGGGGTGAGAAAGTCAATGGCGCAAACCCCATCCCTCCAACATTTATAGTTTTCGATCTAGGGTGGGGGTATATGGATCTGGGGAGTGGGTATAAAATACGTGTTCGGGAGGGTATGAGGGGTTGTGATATAGTTTTTTACCCTATTTTGGGGGTGAGAAAGTCAATGGTGCAAACCCCATCCCTCCATCATCTATAGTTTTCGATCTAGGGTGGGGGTATATGGATCTGGGGAGTGGGTATAAAATACGTGTTCGGGAGGGTATGAGGGGTTGTGATATAGTTTTTTACCCTATTTTGGGGTCGAGAAATTCAATGGCGCAAACCCCGTCCTTCCAACATTTATAGTTTTCGATCTAGGGTGGGGGTATATGGATCTGGTGAGTGGGTATAAAATATATATTATTTTTATATTTTGAGTTAGATTGGGGTCAACACCCTGCAACACTTTCTACATTGGACATAATTGGCTAACAGGTAAGTACACACTTAACTTACCTGAATACATATGACCAAAGATGATTATCCACTTACATAATCCAATTACAAGCTGATTGATTTTCTAAAGCAGGTGGAACTATGAATTAGTAATATTGACTCTCCCCGTAAGATTGCACACCAATTATATGAACTGCTTTCCCCATATAGTTTAAATATTGTGTTAAACGGATTCATCAAACACGTTTTTTAAGTTATACAATTTAATTTTTATGCTTATCTTTCCTTAATTAAATTATCATTGCAATATCTTTATCTATCAGTGTGCTGATTTGACATAACACCTGAAGAGTAACCGTCAAAATCGAGATTATTCCCCTACGGTTGTATCATAATATTAAATTTTTAGAAACTAATATAATATTCCAATAATAATTTTTTTTTGTAATGTAATATAAAATGTAGATTACTAGCACTGACGAATACTAGAAAATACCCGGTATGGATCATAAACATAAACAAATAACGTTTTTAGCCGAAAATAAATATATTTCCTCAATGTTTTATCTAGTTTCGGAATTTTTAGTTAGATTATGTATGTTGGAGGAGTTTTCGAGAATTACTAATTACTATATTATTAGTTTGGACAAACTTGATAATAACAGACAAGAATGAAATCCAGTGGAATAAGACAGTGACATGAATTGTAGCTGTCAGATAATTTGTTGAACAATATTAGACGTTGGTCAATCCATAATGAATGGTGCGGGGGTACACGGGGAAGTAATAATCATTTGTTGTACCATAATCAAAGGCAAGAATAACTCTGCAATTGAGTTAAAAATGATTTATTTAACAATATAACACGTGGTTCAATTTATAAACAATGGTTTGGAGGCACACGGGAAAGTAATAAACAATTTTTGTTTTATAATCAACGGCAAGAATAACGCTGTACAGTTTGATTTCTTTTTTAGGTAGAAGCACAGAAAACGTACTGTAAACGTGTGTTTGCTGTTGTAGAAGCGACTAAGGTGTGGTCTAATATATCTTTGAATATGAACTTTTTTGGCAGTAATGCGATCACTGTGTTAATACCTGTCCAATTTTTTAGGTTAAACCAAAACAAAGAAACTGGTATATCAAGCAATGAATGAAAATCAAGTGTAATGAATAGGCCTAAGTTGTTATTAAATTATTGACACTACGTTATAAGTGACATGGACATCGCTTAAACCAATTTTTCACACTAACTGTGAATAAAGAAATGGTATAAAACTTAGGAGACTTAATTAGGCCTAGTTTACTTAGTTGACTTAGGGAGGGCCGACAACCCAAGAGAGGAATCAAAACTACACATCTGTGAGTGTAAAATTCAAATGAAGGCTTAAAATATTGTTTTAAAATTTCATATAATTAATAAAGTAACAGAAATGTCATAGTAAAGAAACGCTTAAATGAACTTAGAATACGTACACATGATGCGTTTGTTTATGAGGAAAATTATTTGATCAAAATATTTCTGAAACTTTGAGTTTGCTTTGTTCAATTTGTAGGATAAAACAAGTTTTTATTTTGGTAGGAGCCTTCTTACTTGACAAAAATATTTAATTTAGGCAAGAAATAGCATCGTACCGTTTAGTGTTAATTTTTTTTAATTTAATTAATTGTTAATTGTTTGTTGTTGGTTTAATTGTTTTTTTATTTATAATGGAAAACAGGATTTTTTTATTTATCACCATAAACCATAACTAAAACAAACTTTCATAATTCATTATTTGCAAATCTTAATCTCCACGAATCAAGCCATCAGTCCAGTAAAACGGTATATTATATATTAACAAAGTACCGTGCAGATAATAACAAAAATATTCAATATTAATTTGGACTTCAGAAAAAGCGTATAGATTTTGAAAGTAGGCCTACAACAACAACAAAATATCTCCTCAAGATTTAAGAATAAGTCAACTGTGTTTTGCTTTTTTATGAACATATTTTGATCAATTTCGGAAAATACATTCATTATTTACTAAACTATTAACATTTTGGAAAAACAAACTTTTTTACCGCCCTTGTTGCAGCAAACCTAAGTACTCGTTAAACTAATTCTATTTAAATAGGGAATAAATGTGGTATTTTTAAGGAGGCATTTTTAGTGTACACCCAAATGGCAAATGGAAATTCGCTTACTTGCAGTGGCGGGTTTTTTTCATATGTTATACATTCAAGTACAGTATAATACTATTTGAAACGATAAAAAGTGGGGGGGATCTTTACATAATAGTTTTATGATTATGAAAACTCGTTGTAAGCTGAGAGCTAAAGACACGTTAGCTGGACTTCAGGCTCAAAATAACTTAAGATTACACTAGATACAAAAAGATGTTACATGAACATGACCATAATTTTTGGACACATTATTTTAAATCGTATGGCATTATTTAATTTTTGTAAATAATTGATTTCGGAAGAGTGTTTTGACTTTTTCATTGCACAGCAGCCATATCTAACTGTTGGGAAAAGATCGTTCATTGTGCTTTAGATAGCTAGAGTCCATAAACATGGATTTGTTAAAGTTATTAATACAAATATATAAGACCTGTTAGTAAAAAGATTCCTGTGTGGCATGTGAACGAAAACGGCAAAGGAAAAATATTATAGGACCAAAATTAATTGTTGGGTACATTATTTTACATCATATAACATTATCCATTTTTGTGAATAATTTATTTTGATACAATCAGAGGAGTAAAAAAGAAAGAGTGTATGATGATGCTATCAACAATGTATTTTCGGATCAAAAACTATGGGGCGGCTCAGATTAGCCACGTTCTTGCGAATGTTCGTTTGACCCCTAGAAAAGATGTTTATTCTACTGTAAATTGTTATTCTGGCAAATCTTTGTTATATTTTAAGGATAAAGTTTTATTCTTTTAACTGTATAATTTGCATTTGCTTAGAAATAAGTATTAAAAGTTGTAAAGTGGGCGTGGTTTGTGAGTATAGTAACAATGGGATAGCGCCAGTTTAGTTTTGCGTTAAAAACTGGGCCAATAGGAGAGTAGTCTGGTTGTAGCGCCTTCCCCTTGTTTCGGTCAATCTAGTTTATAATTCTAATCCACTGCCTGTTATATATCATGAACAATATCAATATCTATATCATACAAAGTGTTAGTTTGTGTATCTATCGTTTCCTGTAGTATATCATTATTAATATAAATATAGATATTATATGTTGCATATATTATAGTACCCGTACCGTTGACTATGGAATTCATAGGCTACTGTTCTTAATGGATTAGATTGCAACTTCAGCCGTTGATTATTAAACTAATGTGCAATCCCTCTTTGAATTGATTATGGAATCACCTCGGTTACTGTTCTTAACGGTCAAGATACTTACTCTAGTCGATGATTATTTTACCAATGATGGAACCACTTTACCATTGATTATGGATTCAGTCTTCGGCTACTGTTGTTAACGGTCTAGAATTTCACTAGAGTCGTTGCTGATTGTAGATCCATACCCCCACCCTAAATCGAAAACTAAGGATGTTGGAGGGGATGGGGTTTGCGCCATTGAATTTCTCGACCCCAAAATAGGGTAAAAAAACTATATCACAACCCCTCATACCCCCCAGAACACCTATTTCGTACCCACTCCCCAGATCCATATACCCCCATCCTAAATCGAAAACTATAGATGTTGGAAGGACGGGGTTTGCGCCATTGAATTTCTCGACCCCAAAATAGGGTAAAAAACTATATCACAACCCCTCATACCCTCCCGAACACGTATTTAATACCCACTCCCCAGATCCATATACCCCCACCCTAGATCGAAAACTATAGATGATGGAGGGATAGGGTTTGCGCCATTGACTTTCTCACCCCCAAAATAGGGTAAAAAACTATATCACAACCCCTCATACCCTCCCGAACACGTATTTAATACCCACTCCCCAGATCCATATACCCCCACCCTAGATCGAAAACTATAGATGATGGGGGGATAGGGTTTGCGCCATTGACTTTCTCGACCCCAAAATAGGGTAAAAAACTACATCACAACCCCTCATACATCCCAGAACACGTATTTTATACCCACTCCCCAGATCCATATACCCCCACCCTAAATCGAAAACTATAGATGATGGAGGGACGGGGTTTGCGCCATTGAATTTCTCGACCCCAAAATAGGGTAAAAAACTACATCACAACCCTTCATACATCCCAGAACACGTATTTTATACCCACTCCCCAGATCCATATACCCCCACCCTAAGTCGAAAACTATAGATGATGGAGGGACGGGGTTTGCGCCATTGAATTTCTCGACCCCAAAATAGGGTAAAAAACTACATCACAACCCCTCATACATCCCAGAACACGTATTTTATACCCACTCCCCAGATCCATATACCCCCATCATAAATCGAAAACTATAGATGATGGAGGGACGGGGTTTGCGCCATTGAATTTCTCGACCCCAAAATAGGGTAAAAAACTACATCACAACCCCTCATACATCCCAGAACATGTATTTTATACCCACTCCCCAGATCCATATACTCCAACCCTAAATCGAAAACTATAGATGATGGAGGGACGGGGTTTGCGCCATTGAATTTCTCGACCCCAAAATAGGGTAAAAAACTACATCACAACCCCTCATACATCCCAGAACACGTATTTTATACCCACTCCCCAGATCCATATACCCCCACCCTAAGTCGAAAACTATAGATGATGGAGGGACGGGGTTTGCGCCATTGAGTTTCTCGACCCCAAAATAGGGTAAAAAACTACATCACAACCCCTCATACATCCCTGAACACGTATTTTATACCCACTCCCCAGATCCATATACCCCCACCCTAAGTCGAAAACTATAGATGATGGAGGGACGGGGTTTGCGCCATTGAATTTCTCGACCCCAAAATAGGGTAAAAAACTACATCACAACCCCTCATACATCCCAGAACACGTATTTTATACCCACTCCCCAGATCCATATACCCCCATCATAAATCGAAAACTATAGATGATGGAGGGACGGGGTTTGCGCCATTGAATTTCTCGACCCCAAAATAGGGTAAAAAACTACATCACAACCCCTCATACATCCCAGAACATGTATTTTATACCCACTCCCCAGATCCATATACCCCAACCCTAAATCGAAAACTATAGATGATGGAGGGACGGGGTTTGCGCCATTGAATTTCTCGACCCCAAAATAGGGTAAAAAACTACATCACAACCCCTCATACATCCCAGAACACGTATTTTATACCCACTCCCCAGATCCATATACCCCCACCCTAAGTCGAAAACTATAGATGATGGAGGGACGGGGTTTGCGCCATTGAGTTTCTCGACCCCAAAATAGGGTAAAAAACTACATCACAACCCCTCATACATCCCTGAACACGTATTTTATACCCACTCCCCAGATCCATATACCCCCACCCTAAGTCGAAAACTATAGATGATGGAGGGACGGGGTTTGCGCCATTGAATTTCTCGACCCCAAAATAGGGTAAAAAACTACATCACAACCCCTCATACATCCCAGAACACGTATTTTATACCCACTCCCCAGATCCATATACCCCCACCCTAAATCGAAAACTATAGATGATGGAGGGACGGGGTTTGCGCCATTGAATTTCTCGACCTCAAAATAGGGTAGAAAACTACATCACAACCCCTCATACATCCCAGAACACGTATTTTATACCCACTCCCCAGATCCATATACCCCCACCCTAAATCGAAAACTATAGATGATGGAGGGACGGGGTTTGCGCCATTAAATTTCTCGACCCCAAAATAGGGTAAAAAACTACATCACAACCCCTCATACATCCCTGAACACGTATTTTATACCCACTCCCCAGATCCATATACCCCCACCCTAAGTCGAAAACTATAGATGATGGAGGGACGGGGTTTGCGCCATTGAATTTCTCGACCCCAAAATAGGGTAAAAAACTACATCACAACCCCTCATACATCCCAGAACACGTATTTTATACCCACTCCCCAGATCCATATACCCCCATCCTAAATCGAAAACTATAGATGATGGAGGGACGGGGTTTGCGCCATTGAATTTCTCGACCCCAAAATAGGGTAAAAAACTACATCACAACCCCTCATACATCCCAGAACATGTATTTTATACCCACTCCCCAGATCCATATACCCCAACCCTAAATCGAAAACTATAGATGATGGAGGGACGGGGTTTGCGCCATTGAATTTCTCGACCCCAAAATAGGGTAAAAAACTACATCACAACCCCTCATACATCCCAGAACACGTATTTTATACCCACTCCCCAGATCCATATACCCCCACCCTAAGTCGAAAACTATAGATGATGGAGGGACGGGGTTTGCGCCATTGAATTTCTCGACCCCAAAATAGGGTAAAAAACTACATCACAACCCCTCATACATCCCAGAACACGTATTTTATACCCACTCCCCAGATCCATATACCCCCACCCTAAATCGAAAACTATAGATGATGGAGGGACGGGGTTTGCGCCATTGAACTTCTCACCCCGAAAATAGGGGGTATCCATGGTTTTGTACTGCTTTATAGACAAAATTTCGAAAGCTATATACATTTAGCAAATGGGGGGGGGGTGTCGCCCCCTTACAGGTCAAGGAGGGCAATATAACTGTTGTAAAGGGTGTATTTGTATTTAGGAAAACATAACAAATCAATATAATAGGGAAGAAAAAATATTTTGGCTGGGGGGGGAATTCCCCCCCTTGTAAGTAGGAAGGGGGGGGGTTAGGTCGTCGGCGATGGTTCCATTGGATTTCTCACCCCAAAAATAGGGGATATTTATTATTTTTGTACTGATTTACCGACATATTCTCCAAAATTATATATATTTAGTCAAAGGGGGGGGGAGGGTCTTGCCCTTACAGTACAAGGGGGCAGTATAAGTGTTAAAATGAGTTTATTTGTATGGAGGATAATATAATAAATAAATACACATGAAAACAAATATATTTTATTCAAAGAATATCCATCTACATGGTATAGGGGGAGAAAGTAAAAGTTGTATGTACACATATTTTTATGTCCGTAGACACTACTTATTTGGTAAGAAGAACGGCTTTACTCACCCCCATGCCTCCTGGAGGAGGTCCCCCCATCATGTGATGCGGTGGAGGAGGAGGCCCTCCATAGTTGGGGCCACCGTGTCCTTGCATTGGTCCTGGACCCCCCCAGTTTGGATCCCAATTTGGAGGAGGCCCACCTCTAAACCTTGGGCCTCTGGGTCCTCCATAGTGTGGTCCGGGAGGTCCTCCACGGTAGCCTGGTGGTGGTGGCCCCCTGGGCCCATAGCCGCCTCTTCCACGGAATCTAGGGCCACCACCATGTGGTCCATGGGGGCCTTGTGGCCCACCTCTGGGGCCTTGTCCTTGACCTCTTGGGCTGAAGTCCATGTGTTGTCCTCCTCTCCCACCACCTCTTCCACCACCCCTAAATAGAATTTTAGTTTTCTAATATAAAAATAAAATAAATACCCCTTCCGCAGCAAACCTGCAGACTCAGCGAATTTTCATTTGCCTGATTTTATTTTCAATTAAATCCAGTGCTTGATTTATTAAAAATGAGGGGCCGGAACTGTAGCCTATTTAATGTGATACGAACCTATTTATGTATTTATTCATGCAAATATTTTCATCTTTCTGAAAGAGAGGTACTGGAACTCTGTTCCGTTGGTCCCCGCCCAAGTCAGGCACTGATTAAATCTATTTTAATAACATTAGGTTGTGGTTGAACAAGTAGGCCTACCTAGGTTTGCTGCTACAAGGAGTGTAATAAAGTGTATTTTTTTAGTAAAATATTAATAACTTAGTATAAAATAAATAAATTGGAAAGTTTGGTCAAAATATGCCTATTAACATGCAAACTACAACAGTTTACTTATTCTCCAATTTTTATAAATTTTTACCTCATGAATCACCCCATAAAACCTCGTTCCCATGGTCCAATCTAGCTGGTTTGTGATCTCGTTTGAATAAACATAGGTTTAAAACATGTTTGTAGTAAATTTCATCAAAGTCGGATCATTTTTATTACTCGAGTTATCATGCTTACGGACACATAACTTCTAGGTATATACAGGGTGTCCCGTAAGTAAACAGCCAAACTCCGGGATATGAAAATAAATAAATAAATAAATAAATAAGGTCTTTATTCATGAGCGAATTTCAGTTACAAAACTGTTTTACAAATTGACTCAAGTCAGGACTTAAACTAAATAAAACCTCTTATAACTACGAAACAAAATAAGATTAGTTACAAACTTTTAGGCGATTCTTAAAACTGTTGTAAGACAGTGCTTTTAGCTTGCAAGGAAGTGCATTGTACTGAGCCGGCCCGAAGTAAGAAAAACCCCTTCTAAACTACCAGCATCAAGAACAACCCTTGGTATGTCAAGCAACAAGTCCTGTCTAGTTCTGCGCTCTCTCATGGCCGACCTCGCTTTCAGTTTTTCCTTCAAGTACTGTGATGCCTGAGTGACCAGTGTTTTGTGGACGATACATGCAACCTGCTTATCACAGCTCTCTCGGACGGACATTGTATTTGAGATCCTACGGTGACTTGTTATATGATCATATTTTTTAAGTTTGTATACGAACCTTAGGGAGCAATTCTGTAGCCTGTGAAGTATTGTGATCTGTTCCTGTGTTAAGCTGTATCCAAAAACAGGTAGGCAGTAATTTAAAGTAGGGAAAATCAGGGATTTGACCAACCTCAACTTGATGTTTGCAGGGAGCAATGTTCTAAACCTATTAAGCACTTTTAATTTTCCAACAACACGTTTGCTTATCTGTTTTACATGGCTAGAGAAAGTCAGCTGTGAGTCAATTGTCACACCAAGAATCTTAATGCTTTTGGAAGTTGAAAGCTCTGAGTTATTAACTGTAACTTTGATGCTATTTTTTTCCAGCTGCTCATAGATTGCTGTATTGGCAAAGTGTATAGCGGAACATTTTTCAGGGTTTAGCTTTAATCCATGATCCTTAGACCATTCACAAACCTTTGAAAGGTCACTACTCATATGCTGTAATGCCTCCCCAACCAAAGTAGGCTGGTATGATAAGAAGATTTGACAGTCATCAGCAATACATAATCCCGAAATCCAACACTGATTCAATACCTACTATATACAGATTGATTAAGATAGGAGCAAGACAACTTCCATGGGGAACACCGACTGTCTTTGCCACTGACGATGAGAGCTGATTGCACACCTTTGTAATCTGTGATCTCCCACTCAAATATGTGGTCATCCACTCTAGAGCCTTACAATCAAATCTAAAATATTTTAACTTTGAAATCAACAAGCTATGGTTTACAGAATCAAACGCCTGTGTATAATCTAACGACGACAATACGCTGCACAGCTTATTATTTTTGGCTTTGTAAATTTCATCAATCATGTTAAGCAAAGCTGTGCATGTACTGTGTCCCCTTCTAAAACCAGATTGGTTAACATCTAAAATCTACTCTGCATCAATGAAATGCGTTATCTGGTCCACAACAACCTTCTCTAGGAGTTTTGACAACGAAGGCAACAATGATACTGGTCTAAAGTGTTAAACCATGGATGCATTGTTCGTCTTAGGAAGGGGGATTACCAGGCTATGTTTCCAACATTCTGGGAAACTACCCGTTCTTAATGACATGTTTATTAGGCGTGTTATTACAGGGAGGCAGTAAGGGCTTAGTGACTTCTTAATCAAATGAATGTTGATTCCGTCTATTCCAGCAGATGCTGAAGTTATGCTATTCATGGCCATTTTTACTTGGCCTTCACTTACTTCAGAGAAACTAAAAATCCCAGAAACGTGATTAGCATTGCTAGATTTGTAATAGTTTAGAACATCAGGGTTAATATTATTACCAGTTCCCATGGTGGCAAAAAAACTATTCATATCATCATATGGTTCTATGGGTCAAAATAAAGAGAAATTCAAGAATAAATTGTTTTCCAAAATCAATAACTAGATATCCACCATCTTTTAATTTTTACATAAACATTTTTATTTTTGAATATTTTCAACCGATCTTTATCAAACTTGGTATGTAGGTTAAGGTAGAAAAGACCAGTGTTAAAAAAATCTCGATTCAACTTAAAATTTCAAAATGGCAGCCATTTTAATTTTTTAAACTTAAATTAGGCCTACTCAAAAACGGCTAATTTTATGAAAAAATGTCAACAACACTTTTATTTAGCATTTTTAATTCCCTATCAAAGTTCAAAAAGATTGAATTAGAAATAGCTGAAATATTACGAATTTTAGTTGTAAAATGGGGTAGAATAAGGCTGAAGAAGCTAGTCAGGTTTGCCCCATTTTACAACTAAAAATCATAATATTTCAGCTAGTTCTTATTCAATCTTATTAAAGTTAAACTTGGCAATCCAACACATTAATTTATTTTATTCTTACACATTTCTTACGTTGTGAATAAATAGAACAAATGTTAAAAAGAAGTAGGCCTATTTGTTATATTAGGCCTAGTTCCTATTAGTATACGAGTACAGCGTATGTAAGGGTGTGATTTATTTCTTGGTACTAAATTAAATCTTTCTTTAAGTATAAGTAAAACTTCATCATGAGCATACTCTCTAAAATACTATCATATGATGGATTAACTAAAGACAGATAAAAGTCTGATTCAAGCAGCTCACTTTACAGATGATTGCAATACATTTAACTTTAACTACTTAAAATAAAGAGAAATTCAAGAATAAATTGTTTTCCAAAATCAATAACTAGATATCCACCATCTTTTAATTTTTACATAAACATTTTTATTTTTGAATATTTTCAACCGATCTTTATCAAACTTGGTATGTAGGTTAAGGTAGAAAAGACCAGTGTTAAAAAAATCTCATCATGAGCATACTCTCTAAAATACTATCATATGATGGATTAACTAAAGACAGATAAAAGTCTGATTCAAGCATAATAATATTTCAGCTAGTTCTTATTCAATCTTATTAAAGTTAAACTTGGCAATCCAACACATTAATTTATTTTATTCTTACACATTTCTTACGTTGTGAATAAATAGAACAAATGTTAAAAAGAAGTAGGCCTATTTGTTATATTAGGCCTAGTTCCTATTAGTATACGAGTACAGCGTATGTAAGGGTGTGATTTATTTCTTGGTACTAAATTAAAATTACTAAATTTAACTAGGTAGTGTACCTGTTGCTCGAATTCGAGCATTGCGAAGTATTACAGACGTTATTTTAAAATGAATAATAGGCTGGACAAAATTTTCGATGACTAAAGATTATGGAAATACTCACGGTGTACATAACAGTTCGATATAACCTACATTTCTTGTAAATATACATTTTCAAAAGCTGGTCTTGGTTTTTAGTGTTTTCTACAAATGTTTCCCACTCATAGCCGCCGCATTAGGTTGTCCACAATAATGGTTATAAATTCTTTTTAAAAAATCATTATTTCTATTTCTTCTACTTTGGTGAGAGTTATATATATGGCTTTCCAATGTTTACATAGTTTGCAAATCGGCTCTTTCAATGATTGCTCAAGAAATGCAGCACAGTGTTAATTCAGTTTTATTTCAGTGAATTTCCCTATAGAGAAGTAGCTATTACCGTAGGTCTCATGGTAAGACCAAGGCCCGGGACCAATTTACTTTATCATTTTGATGTCTCCAGAGGCCAAAAACACCATTCGTTACATATTTTTATCCGCTTATAATCAACTCTTATGTGGACAATATATATAGGCCTACCTACATTCAAAAGATCATAAGTTGGAGTTTTATGGAATCAGAAACAGTGCTCTAAATCTTTTGTGGTCTTATTTAGCAAATCGTAGACAGGCGGTATACGCTGATGGTGAATGGTCCTCCATCGCCCTCAGCAACTGTGGGGTAGGCCTACCTCAAGGCTCCGTCTTGGGTCCCCTTCTGTTTTTAATTGCTATAAATGATCTGCCTATGAATCTTAGTTGCAATTCCTATCTCTATGCGGACGATACCACCTTGCTATCTTGTCACAGTGACCTTTTGCATCTTAAGTCAATTGTCAGAAACACAGTCAATACTGCTACCGAGTGGTTTTCAGCCAATAGTTTTCTTTTGAATAAAGACAAAACACAATCAGTCATAATTTGCCTAAGACCTCTACATGATATAGGCCCACTTGAAGCTGAACTGTCCAATATGGTAAAGTTTCTGGGTATCCACATTGACAAACAACTGACTTGGTCTGATCATATAACGCAACTCTGTACTAGGTTAAGTAGAATGATCTGCATTTTTCGTAAGCTTAATGATTTAGTTCCTATTAGTTATTTAAGATCAGTTTACTTTGCTTTATTTCAGTCTGCCTAGAACTATGGTATCATTTTTTGGGGTAATAGTTCTCATGTCTCCGATGTCTTAATATTACAAAAAAAGGTCCTGCGCATAATGGCTACAGGGTT